TCTAATTGACAGAAAGACTTTGGGCTTAGTAATTCAGTAATTGAGTAATTCAGGTGACCACTGCTGTGGTCTTCAAGGTTCATTATCTTGACTGACTTCTGGGGAGACACAAACTGGATCAAAGTAATGGTCTAGAGATGGAGTCATGGGCGAATGGTCCCACAGTGCTGAGGGGTGGGAAAATGAGCCTTTTCTGGCCCAGAAGAGCTGGACACAGACGCTAGTATCAGGCCCCATCCAACACATGCAACAGCACCTGGGCTTCAGTTGACCAGCTCCCTCTAAAGAGAGGAATAAACTGTGGCTCCCTCTGCCATCCCACTTGCCAGGAGGAAAGAACTCTAGGGAAACCCAGTGGAGACACCACAGCTTTCCCTGGGGCCAGCATCACATTTCCATGATATTCACACAACAGACCTGCACAATCTCAGCAGGACAGGGCTGCAGTATAAAGCCACAGGCAGCTGGCACTATGGCTTCTTAGAGACATGATATACCTTGAATAGGGTTATACATAGGTGCTGTACGCAAGTCTGAAGTGGACAGCACGCCCTGCAATGCTTTTCCTTTAATCTTGGTGGGATGTAGGATGCTTTTACACTCTCACATGGTTGAAAAACCTTTGCAAAGGTATCAACCGAGGCAGATGTTCTTGGAGCCAGCTGGAAGTTCAGGGTGGAGAGGCAAGGCTGTCCCATTCCAGCACAGCACAAGCAAGGCTATCTATGCGTCTGCTTTGTTTTCAGGTATCTGAACACTAACTACCCTCTGTGTTAAACATAACTCCATGCACATGTATCCGTACCAAAGAGCAGAACACATTGGGCTGTGACATTGGAGATTCCCTGACTCACTCATCACCACAGGAGAAGCTCTGTGGTTGTGCATCATCCATCACTGTGATTCCCAGCCTGGTTGAGCCTCAATTAGTGTGTTGCTGTATTCAGCCACAGTGTAAACATACAGTTAAATCCTGAATCCGCAAGTCTAATCTGGTTGGTTTTCTCTAATGTGAGATATCGCTTAAAAAATTAATTTGCTTCATGACATTACGAGACAGACAGCTTTAAATAAAAACAAAGGAACTACTTCTGCCTTAAGCAAAATATGGAAAGTTTGTAAGACTGAAAATGATATTAACGTTGGGCTTTTTATCCAGGGATGCACAAAGCCCAGTTTTTAATGTTGGCAGTGGAGGATGACAGAACTCTCCCTCATCTGAAAGGCAATGAGCAGGATTTGGTGTTTGTGCTCTTTATGGTGCAATAGTTCACATCATGTAAATGCCCATCATCCAGTCCAAAATTGCTGGCTTTCAGGGCACAATAACCCTGAAGTCCATAATTAAATGGAATTAAAATGAAGAAATGAAATAAGTGTGAATAAAAAGTGAGAAGGATGTGAACATGGCACCAACCCTTTTACTCAAAATTTTCAGCTCCTCTGCACAATACAGTGCTGTAAAAGCATTGGGTGTGCCAGCTTATTGTGTGCTCTCTACAAAGGAGTGATAACCTTCAATGACCCATACCCCAGCAGGGTGTTTTCTCTTCCTGAGTCACTAAGCAAAATTCAGACCCTCTTTTTCTACAGAAAAATCTGAGCAATCCAGAAATATCATTGTTGATGGCACCGACCTTCCCTTCCTGCCCAACCTCACAGCCCTCGCTAGTCTTAACATTAACTGCTTGACACTTGCTTCTTAACTAAACTCACTCATCCTCACTCACACTTTGTGCATCACCACTGAATGTGACCTAGTAGCATGGCTGGTTTGATTTGTGATTCAGGGTACTAGATAGAGAAATTTGCTGAAAAATATCAAAGGTACTAGAGAGTATGAGAAGTTGGAAATGAAACAACGCTATGTTTCTTAGCATAATGTTAGGCATTATGCAGACTTAGGCATCAGTGTCCTAAGTCTGTGAGTACAAGTGACATCTCTGCTTTTTCACCTCTCAGGGCCAACCAGTTTTCCTTTTATTTCTTGGAAGTCCCCAGCTGGGGCTTCCTCAGGTTGTCATCCACAGGCTGTGGTCTCCAAGATGGGAGCAAGGAACTGGACTCCACTGGTGGTGCATGCCCAAACTAACTACCCCACTGCTGAGCAAAACTTACTTCTTTTACTCACTGAGCTGCCCAAGTAGAGCAGACTGTCATGTTTAAAAGAGCTGGAAGAACTTGGGTTTGGGGCGTTTTGCTCTAGAAACATCACATCAGGTAGTGTTTTGAGTGGTATTTTCCTTGATGGTTTTGGGCAGAACCTGGCAGCAGGGTGACCAGCTGGGCAGCAGAAGACAGGTCATGGCCACAAAGCTACATGACAACAGAAGCTTTATACAGCACGTGGTGAAGGAAAACATTGGGAAACACTAGAAATCTGCACAGGCTGATGATGTCATCCACATTCTCAGCCAGCTAATCTCCCAGTATCAATACTGGTGTTTATTTAACACTAAAAAAGATGTGGAGTTCTTCACAAAACAAGTAAAATGCATCTCTGGCAGAACTGTTTTCTTCTTTCTCTGTGAAAAATAGCTTCTTTCTGCAGCTGTAAGCCACTCAGACAATTTATTACTGCTTTATCTCCCTCCAGTCATTTGTCCTTCCCTCCCCATCTTGGCCAGGTCTGGAGGCAACATACGTGAAGCCCTTCACAGCAAAACTCACCAAGCATCTTTCAAGAGCTGTGATGGTTTTCAGCTCCTTTGAAAGCAAGAGGAAGCCGGGGGTACTTGAGACTTGGCAAAGGATCAGGCCGTGACTGATTTACAGCACTGAAAGAAAGGGGCTTTCTGAGAGAGAGCAATGAGAAATTCTCATTCCTTCCTCTTTGCCCTGCTTTTGCAGAAAATGCCACACTTTCCCAGCGGGCTAATACTGTTTAGCTGGTGTTTAAGCACCTGGTGTAAAGAGATCAGGGCTTTGCACAGCTGAAGTTCTGCAGTGTGAGACAAAGACAACCTGTATGACTCTTGTGCATGAAACCTCTTCTGCACTATCAGGAGAAAATCATGTTCTTAACATTACTGCTGCAAACAGAAAGGCCAAAGTGTTTTACTCCCTTTGACACTCATGTAGCACCTTAATGCTTCAGTGAATTAGTGGAAAAAATCCATGAGTAAAGCACTTACAGGTGGATAAAGGTAAAAAATTTCATTAGAGCTTCATCTAATCTATCATGCGTTTAAACCTAGTCCTAAAGAAGCTGTCCTGCTCTTCTACACTGCAGCTTCTCATGGCATATCCCTAACACAAAAAACTAGGAATACATTCAACACTTCAAAGGGGTTTGAAGCACTTCATGCCTGCACTTTGAGGAGGGAACTTCAAAGCTCTGTTTAATTGCTTTCTGGTTTGAGGTGTTCTACATCTTTTTAAATGTTTGTTATTTTAATGGTAAAAGTAATTTCTGTGTCAGTTTTACAAACTATAGCAAATCCCTTAAGCCTAACAGCAGTTAGGGGTTACTGAACAGGGGTTTGCTGTCATAGAGAAAGTACATTTGACAATTTAGGAACTGACCTGGGATCTTCACCGACTAGGGGACCTTATGGTCTTGGTTAGAACTGTAGCTCCAAATTCCAAAAGCTCCTGAGCTCCATGAAGACTCTTAGGGAACTTGGAGCCATGGGCTAAAGCACAATAAAGAAATCCTGATTGAGTGGTCTCATAGAGCTCTCACCTCATGGGAACGGATATTGGAGTTCTGCTTGCTTCATTATTTCTTGGTGTAATCATTGACTGAAACATGGGCAAACCATCTGAGAGCAGAACCTGCAGGCTCCTTCTACCTCTTCTTCTCCTAGACCCTTGTGTGTAACTGTCCCTCCAGAGTACATAGGGTGCTCTCCCTCAAACCCTGCCCTTTCACCAGATGAAGAAAACTCTGTTTAGGGACAGGGTCTGTGATTTCAAACCTCCAAAGACTAAGGCAAGATGTGGCTTCCAGCCTGGAGGAGTGTCCTAAGAAGCCTGGCACCCCACAGCCTTCCTGATACTGTAGGTACCAACAGCTGAAGCATTTCTAGGTGTTCATGGCAGTGTGACCTAAGGAAAGGGTTGTAAGGACATTTTTCATCAGGGAACTTTGATGGTTTCTATGGAAGTGATGGTTTCCTCAGCAGCTCAGCACTGAAGACTTACTGTTGTCCTGAACACAGGACACCTGAACATGGGCACATGCAATTAAAGCTGCAGCCTGAGGCATCAAAATACTATTTCAGCCATCTCATCAGGTGGTTTTAGGTATCCCAGGAAAATGCTTACAAAGATTTTATTTGGCCTACAGAGAATGATTTCTCTTGGTTCCTCTATATGCAGTGGAGGGGAGCAGGACCCTGCAGGACAGTCCCACCGACCCAGTGCCAGATTTGTGCCCCAACACTTGGCCACACAAACGTTCTGCACCTTTCCACTGTCTGTCATGGGATGAGACAGCTGTCAGCACCACCAAGTCACAGCTGGCCTTTGGAAATCCCTGCAAAGGCTATTTCTGGCAATAACCTGAGCATTCAGGACTTGCTTCTGGAAAGACAATTTAGGGTCCCTTAAATGTGCTTCAGATGAAGGTTGCCCCATCCCTGAAAGTGTTCAAGGCCAGGCTGGACACGGCTTTGAGTGAACTGGTCTAGTGTCCCTGCTCATGGCAGAGAGGTTAGAAAAGGATGATCCAACCCAAGCCATTCTAGGACTTCAAGGTTCATAGAAGCACACTTTGCTCAGAGCTGGCATGCCCAGTGGCCCCATCATCTCACGCTCCTTCAGAAATGAAGGGTAGCATAGGTGAGCTCTGGTCACCACTTCCCACCATGTTCAACAGAAATCTGGCAGATGCACAGCACAGGATTGCAACAGGCAGTCCTTCTTATTCATCTCTCTTTTCCCATATTAGTCTCTGCAGGCCAATCAGAAGCAGTTTACCAAAGTTAAGCAATATCACAGAGAACTTTAAGAAATTACTCTTATCATCCCTCCTGAGGACAGGCTCAATGGTCAAGGCCACAGTGAAATCTTCCTTTTCTTGTAAAAGTTAACTAAAGTTAGCTATTAAAGTGCTGCCTGTATTTAGGGAGGTTCTGAAATGAAGAACAGCACAAGATACCTGCACTGCCTCTGAAGTTTTCAAGGATATCTCTTTCCATAAAATCTTGGTGTGATTTCTCATGAAGAACTTCCTGGAAGACATCTCAGGTACAGTTCTGGATTTACAGTCTGGGTGTGAGATACGTGAAGTAATGTTTACAAAGGAAATGCTTTTAGTAATGTGTTGTTTAAACATGAAATGCTTTTAATCATGTTTTGTACTTCTTGCAAGATGTAAAAGTTTCCCTTGTAAAATTTGTATTTTTCAAATATAAGAGAAGTAGGGTTTGTGAGTGTGTGCACAGTGGAATGAAGCATGTTAATATTTAATTATTCAGGTAAAGTCGTCAGATTTTTGTCTACTTCTTAGTCAATATTTAGAATAAATTAATAAAGGGGAAAAAGGGTGCCTTTGTTAATCCCCTCAACAAAATGACACACATCATTATATGCATTACTAAAGGTTCACAGATATGGGGGAGTAGCAGAGAAGTTGAAGACTTTTATGTGTGAGAGATAGCAATGCTGTTAACTGCTGGCCATGAGAACAGAATCAGAGGTTATGTGGAATAAAACTGAACCGGAATGTTATAGTTCAGCGTAATGTTTTAGTTCACATCTAGTCTTGGTCAATAGTGAGTGAAAGTTGTTACCACCCAATAGCTGTGCAGTGTAAGCTTGGTCTGGGCTCCTGTTCCTTGCATGTGGGTGGACATATTGTAGAAATCATCAGAAGAATTGTGCTCATTGGTCATGTCCCACAAAAAGTTCAGGGATTACCAACGGGAGCACTCTGAAAAGACAGTGTGGGTTACTGGAGCACAGACCTCTCTTTTAGGGGATTTTCTGAGGATGCTGACTTCCACCACACTGGTACTCATCACAGTGTCCCCATTTTCTCTAAAACATCAAAAATAAGTAATGGTGCTGACAGCCAAAAACACCACCCAATGCAGAGGGATCCTATCTTTTAAAACGTGTATGGGAAGAAAATGAAACTGAGAGGAAGGCAATACCGGCTGAAGTCATGGTAGTTGATAGCTGCCGACAGCACACATGGAAGAGGGAAGGAGATAAGAAAAGCTCAGCTAGAGGGTGACTAGCAGTAGTGGACATGTAGCTGCAGCAAGGTGCTGCACCATATGTTCTCTTTTACCTGCCTGGAAAAAGGGTGAAGGCATCTTCCACTGCACTTCAAGGTGCTCAGTTAGCTTAGTTAAACTTAACTTGTGTCATGCCATGTGTCTTTAAAGCCAACTCATCCTCACATGGTTCAGCTTAATGAGACCTTCAGGGCGAGGCTCCAGGTCTCCTTCTTCAGCTCTAAAGCCATTAACCCAAAGCTAACTCAGAGGAGAGTCAGTAAATTGGGGTTCCTATCAGGAGGAAAACACACATGTAAAATATAACTTCAACAAGACCAGCACTAATAAAACGGAAGATTCAGAGAGTTGTAAAGAGGTGTATTGTATGTTCCCAGAGATCGAGGTGTTAAATATGGCCTGAGGGAAGATCAACGGCTGGGCAAGGGCAGAAATGACAGCTAAAGTATTCACAAAAGGTACAGCTGGGAAAGTCCGTATTGAAAGAGTAACCCACTGCACCCATTTCAAAGGGTACAAATAGTACATCTTGTGCCCTACAATGTAATGAGCAAAACTATTTAACTATTATTCCATCAATATTCCTCTCTGCAACATGAATAAAAGATACAGATTAGGAAACAGAGCAATTCTAAAATCTTTAATAGATACAACTTCTTCCTGAAAATCTAAGTACATTGAAATCTATCAGAAAAAGAACTAAACGAACCATTTTATTCACTGAAATTTCATCTGCCTCAGGTTTAGAGATCTGGTCCCAGAAGAGGGAGGGACAGTAGTGTACAATTACAGGACTGGCATATTATTTTAACTGACTTTGGACCAGGGTCTTCAATGATTTTGGGTATTAGTCTGCTAGAATAATTAGCCAGCAGTTTTTGGAAAGTATTACAGATCAAATATTTTATGTTAAAGCAGATTGTAAAAATGTTTAACACATTGCCAAAATATTGAATCTTTGGTGGAAAATAGTTTATTAACAAAACCAGCATATCTAAGAGGTTCATCTGATGTTATTTGGATTTCTACACATCAGTTACTGAATTGGGATGAACTACTACAAAACTTGAAATAGGTCAATACTGGGACCTGAGCTGTAGCAAAGTAACAAGATGGGATTCACATTTTAATGTCAAATTGTCACAGGTAGAAAGCTTTCCATCTGTTCATAACTATGCAAACTGCTTTGTGCTACTTTAAAATCTGTCCTGTGATATCTCCAAGTATCGAGTACATGCTTCTGAGTTAGAAAAGTACGCAGGCAACAGACATGGGTTAGGAGCTAGCATTGGTTGGGTACCTCTCACAAGACTATCAGCAAGCACTTACATGCCAAGGAACATTTGCACTAGGGGAAAGAAAATGAAGAGAAATGCTCTATTATGAATTGCTGAGGTGAGCAGCTCGAGAGAGGACGCCTTCAACACCAGAGTGGGGGGAGATCAGCGCCCAGGAGACTCAACTCAGAGCGGCAACAGCCATGAGGGAGCCTCGAGTCCTCGACAGGACCTGCCCAGGAGCCGGCAGCTCCGCTGACGCGAGCAGGGACTCACAGGGGGCAGAGCCAGGAGGAGCATGGTGGGATGGCTCCTATGACTGGAGTGTTGGAATGGAGGGTTACAGGCTCTTCAGAAAAGACAGGCCCAGCAGGCGGGGAGGGGGAGTTGCTGTTTGTGTTAGGGGTAGGGTGGAGAGTATGGAACTCTGTCTGGGGACAGGTGAGCAGTTAACAGAGAGTTTGTGGGTTAGGGTTAAAGTGAGAACAGCAATGGGAGACATTACTGTGGGGATCTGTTACAGACCGCCTGATCAAGAGGAACCTGCAGATGAAGCACACTACAGACAGATAGGAACAGCCTCACACTCCCAGGCCCTTGTTCTCATGGGGCACTTCAACCACCCTGACATCTGTTGGAGGGACAGTATGTCCCGGCACAAGCAATCCAGGAGGTTCCTCAATTGTGTGGAAGACAACTTCCTTCTGCAAGTAATAGAGAAGCTGACAAGGAGAGGTGCCATGCTTGACCTTGTGCTCACCAACAGGGAAGGGCTCATTGGAAATGTGACTCTCCAGGGCAGTCTTGGTTGTTGTGATCATGAGATGGTTGAGTTCGAGATCCTCAGGACAGTGAGAAGAGCGTGCAGCAAGCTCACTGACCTGGGCTGCAGGAGAGCAGACTTTGGCCTCTTCAGGAACCTGCTTAGAAAGGTTCCATGGGATATAGCCCTAGAGGGAAGGGGGGCCCAAGACTCTTGGTTGGTCTTCAAGGATCACCTGCTAGAAGCTCAGGAATGTTGCATCCCAACTAGAAGGAAGTGCAGCAGGAGGGCCAGGAGACCTCCTTGGATGGATAAGGAGCTCCTGAGGAAAATTCAAATGAAAAAAGAGTGTTATGGAAAGTGGAAGCAAGGACAGGCAGCCTGGGAAGAGTACAGGGATATTGTCCAGGAAGCTAGGGACCAGGTTAAGAGAGCTAAGGCCCAGTTAGAATTAAACTTGGCTAGGGATGTGAAAGATAAGAGCAAGGGATTCTGTAGGTACACTGCAAATAAAAGACAGACTCAGGACAATGTGGGCCCTCTCTGGAAGCTATCAGGAGAACTGGCTACCCTGGATGTGGAGCTGGCTGAGGTTCTTAATGAGTTCTTTGCCTCGGTCTTCACTGGCAAATGCTCTGACCACACCACCCAAGTCTTGGAATGCAGACACAGGGACTGTGAGAATGAAGACCTTGGGCCCACTGTAGGAGAGGAACTGGTTCGAGACCATCTTAAGAACCTGAACATGCACAAGTCCATGGGACCTGATGAAATCCATCCACGGGTCCTGAAGGAGCTGGTGCAAGGTCCTACACCTGGGTTGGAGCAATCCCAGACACAGCTACAGGTTGGGCAAAGAAGAGATTCAGAGCAGCCCTGTGGAGAAGGACTTGGGGGTGCTGGTTGATGAGAAAATGAACATGAGCTGCCTTCAGTGTGTGCTTGCAGCCCAGAAAGCCAACCGCATCCTGGGCTGCATCAAAAGGAGCGTGACCAGCAGGTTGAAGGAGGTGATCCTGCCCCTCTACTCTGCTCTTGTGAGACCTCACTTGGAGTATTGTGTGCAGTTCTGGTGTCCTCAACATAAAAAGGACATGGAACTGTTTGAACAAGTCCAGAGGAGGGCCATAAGGATGATCAGGGGACTGGAGCACCTCCCATATGAAGGCAGGCTGAGAAAGTTGGGGCTGTTCAGCCTGGAGAAGAGAAGGCTGCGTGGAGACCTCATAGCAGCCTTCCAGTATCTGAAGGGGGCTATAGGGATGCTGGGGAGGGACTATTCATTAGGGACTGTAGTGACAGGACAACGGGTAACAGGTTCAAACTTAAACAGAGGATGTTTAGATTGGATATAAGGAAGAAATTCTTTACTGTCAGGGTGGCGAGGCACTGGAATGGGTTGCCCAAGGAGGTTGTGAATGCTCGACTCCTGTCTGTGTTCAAGGCCAGGTAGGACAAAGCCTTGGGTGGCATGGTTTAGTGTGAGGTGTCCCTGCCCATGGCAGGGGGGTTGGAACTTGATGATCTTAAGGTCCTTTCCAACCCTAACTATTCTATGATTCTATCAACGTCACAAGAGAGTTGTTACTAACTTCTTCCATCTCTGAGTAAAAGAAAATAGAATAGGATAGAATATCCATTGGAAAGGTCCTACAATGATCATCTAGTCCAGCTACAGCTAAATAGAGCAAGTTCCATGACTCCTGTCCAGGACTAGCACTGTATTGCATATTTAATGATGGATGCAGCAGAGAGAAATGTTTTTAGATAGTACATTTATGTAAGTGAATTTAATGTGGGAGAATGTGAGGAATAGAAAGAAATGTAACATAACAGTGGGCAGCATAGTAACAGCATCAATTAATTGCTGTAATATACCTAGTGGCATTGACTGAAATGAATCTTGAACCTTCTCACATGTAATGTGGGCCCCAGGGATCATTTCTGGAATGACCAAGGACATTTTCTGTTCAGCACAAACATGCAAATGTGGGCTGGGACAAGGCAGAAAATATCATTTAGGTCAGATGTTGCAACAGTTGTTTGTGAGTAAGAAAGAGAGAAGCAGTCCAGACAACCTGTGGAAATAAATCTCACAAATAACGTAACAAGCAGCAGTACCATGCTTTACTGCTGAGCCTCGTCACACAGACCCAGGCTCAAAGATGCAGCCCTGCCTCTGAGTCCAAGAGAGGATGGCTGAGCCCTGTCTGGGCTCTGCCTTTCCATCATGTGTTGGTGGGTTTCAGTGGGCTCCCAGCTCTCCTGGTGGTGCCACAGAGAAATCACTTGGGATCCACTTGTTTGTTCTTTAAGAAACTAGTCTCCCTTGAGGGAGGCAGGTTTTGGTTGTAGATGGCTGACTCAGAGAAAAATGAACTCAAAATCCATCGTGTCCACTTTGTGGCTGCATCTTTAGGAAGCAATACTTCATGCTCCAGTGAAACACTGCCCTGCAGTGGGAGGAGGAGGAGGGCAAGAGATCATCCTGGCAAAATGAAGCGGGTGTCTCAACCACCTCTCTTTTGATCTTCAAAGGTGTTTAACGCTCAGATTAGAGTTCACTCATCTGTGCTACACTCACATGCCCCACAATACATAACGCTGTTCTCCATTTCAGGTTTTTAAGTGACTAAGGCCAGAGAGAAGCACACGCAAGTCACCATCCTCACCTGACATTTCAGGAGAAATGGTTGAACCTCTGGGCAACCACTATGTTGTAGCCAGACCTGTGTACTCAGAGCATTTATTCAATGAAGAGCATGAGAAATTGCACAGATACCATAAAACCTTTTGGGATCACCTGAAGCTATATTTTCGGTAAGGAGATTTTCTTGGGTTTTGTAAAACCATGGATCTAAGAAACAGCCCAAACTGTCACTCCTGGACATCAGGAACTCCATCCTGACAGCTTCCACTCATTTGCTAAATGTACTGCCATATTTTTCTAAATAATTTTATCTGCTATTACCATTAAAGACTTCCTACAGTTTTACCCCAAGCAGCTTCTCTTTTCAGGGATACTTGGCAGCAGAGGCTCTGGGAAGACATTATTGTGGCCTTTCAATACTTAAAGGGGGCTTATAAGAAAGATGTGATCAGATTTTTTAGCAGGGCCTGTTGTGATAGGACAAGTGGTAATGGTTTTCAACTAAAAGAGGGGAGATTCAGACTAGATATAAGGAAGGTATTTTTTTAAGGTGGTGAAACACTGGAACAGTTTCTTCCAGGGAGGTTGTAAATGCCCCATTCCTGGAAACATTCAATGTCAGGTTGAACAGGGCTCTGAGCAACCTGATCTAGTTGATGATGTCCCTGTTAACTGCAAGGAGCTGGGCTAGGTGACCTTTAAAGGTCCTTTCTAACCCAAATGATTCTATGATTATATGAGTATTTTGGTTGGAAAGGACCTGGAGGCCACTGGGTGCTGCTTGAAGCACAGATGGCAGAGCAGGTTGATCTGGGTCTGGGTGAGATTTTGACCTCTGTCAACCTGAACCTGAATTCTTCTCCTTCAATTCTGCTTCAAAGGCAGGCTGCAAGCCAGCTGAGCTGCTCACCAGCAGAGCTCTGTCCTCTTGTGTTTTTACAGCTGCTCCCCGCAAAGGGTCAAAAAAGTTGCCTTGGGTTTGTTTCCCGTTGCCTCGTGGCTGCCAGCGTACCGCTTCAGGGAGTGGATCCTGAGTGACATCGTCTCCGGCATTAACACAGGGCTTGTGGCTGTCCTGCAAGGTACCTCTGGGAGCAGCCTGTTTATCCAAGCACAAAGGGACTGCAGGCTGCAGCCTGTAATGCACACATCACCTTCTCCGTGCCTCTATCCCTACAGGTCTTGCCTTTGCTTTGCTGGTGAATGTGCCCCCTGGTTATGGACTCTATGCAGCATTTTTCCCTGTCCTGGTCTATTTTATCTTTGGCACATCCAGACATATCTCAGTGGGTAAGTCGAGGCACACCAGCCACGCTCCTCAGTGGTGAAGAAGTATGTGCTGTCCCTCCAGGTCACTAATGAATGCCTTGTGCTGCTCAGGTCCCTTCCCCGTCCTGAGCCTGATGGTGGGAGGAGCCGTTGTCAGGCTGGTCCCTGATGACAGTACTGGAAATGGCACTTCCACGAATATCTCAGCAATAAATGAAGAGAGGGTGATGGTGGCTGCATCTGTAACCTTCCTTTCTGGGGTTTTTCAGGTTGGTAAATTTATGTGTGTGTGCCTACACGTGTCTATATGCACGTGTGAGAACAGAAGGATGGTGGACTGGCCTTTCCCTTTGGTTTCTGCTGGTGTAGTCACCAAAGTAATTCTCTTCCCCTTCCCACATAACTGACTTTGTCTCATTGATTAGGAGACACCTGTGCCCCTCCAGTGACCAGGCAGTGATCCATGCTGTGAAAACCCCGGGTTTGCCCAGACCTGAGCTTACAGCCCACACAGCTTTACCTCACCTACAGCAAAACCCAATCTGCTGGATAGGGAAAAAGTAGTTGTGAGAATGATGCAGACACACCAAGGGAAATAAAAGCTCTGTCTCGTAATAAAATATTGGATTTGTCTTGTAAAGGAAACCCCACAATTTCTCTTTACTTCCTAATATGGAATTCTTACAGTTCCTTCCTTCCTAACATCATGATATGTTTGTGCTTCATGAAACGCTGGTACCATGTGAAAATACAGGTACTGAAAACCCTAAGACTAAGGAGGTTTATTTTAGCTATAAAATAAAAAGGTTTTAACTGCTCTAGCAATTACTCTTATGCTCCTTTATGTTTTATGCCCCTTGTTGCCAAATGTCATTTTTTTATTGCAGGTCTGGTGACAGTATAATCCTTAATCCCTGGATGTATGGGATGAGGAGAAAATCTTTGTTTCCAGTAAACATGCTTCTCTTTGTTGCAGAGATTGCTTAAAAGTGCAAATGAATGCCACTGACGTATGGTCATTTTGCATTCCAGTTGCTTCTGGGAATTCTCCAGTTTGGGTTCATTGTTATTTATCTATCACAATCATTAATCAGCGGTTTCACGACTGCTGCAGCTGTCCATGTTGTGGTATCTCAGCTGAAATTCATGCTTCAACTACCTGTCCCTGGATATAATAAACCACTGGGCATCATCTACGTAAGTACTAAGTATTCATTATCTGCTAATGCTATTGAAACCTGCAATGTATATCTGACTGTGTGTCACAAAGCTGCAATAACAGAACTCAGCATAAAAAGAGCCAAGCAGCAGGAAGCACAAGAGAAAAATATCAGAGATGCGTTATTACCATATTGCCAGTCTTCAAATTTATAACCAAATTCCAAGTTACACCCACTGGGATAATTAGATAATGTTGTGTGTTGGCATATTTGAATTAAGTGTTCAACGTTGCCTCTAGCATTTAATTATTCCTTTATAATGGATTGCTATTATATATATTTAATTTGGATACAGCTGTGAGGGTTGCTGGATGAGAAAGGAGGATGGAGAAGGACAGGAAGGAGGAGCAGAGAGAGGCTCTGACTCCATAATCCATTGCTCACATTTCCTATTACACATGTACATGTTGCTCTGATGCTCCCTCAGGGAGAAGCCAGGAGGAAAGGGTCAAGGGCCAGATCTTTCATAGACACTTTTATCATTTGGATGATGTACATGCATATTGATTGGAACTTGCAATCCACATTATGCCCCAGGGAGTAAATCCCGACTGCTTACAGCAATTCAGATCCAGGCTCTTCCAGAAGGGATAGTGCTACTGTGCCAGGGCACTACTATTTACAAAGCACCACTTGTTTCTTCTTGATTTTTCAGACTCTGGAGAGCATTTTCTGCCAGATCACAGACACAAACATTGCTGACCTTGTCACATCCCTTATTGTCTTGTTTGTCGTGTTCGTGGTGAAAGAAATGAATGACCGATACAAAGCAAAGTTACCAACTCCCATCCCGATTGAACTCCTTGTGGTAAGGGTCAATTCTCTCTGATTTTGCGATTGCTCCATCACTATAGAGACATGGGGAGCAGAGTTTAAACTACTTCTTCTCCTGTCCTGCATTAAATGATGCGTTATTATTTTAGTCATGAGCTACTGTGAGCTGTTTTACCTCTCCTAGATGTTTCACCTCTACTTAGCTGTCCTTCACTGAATACATCTGTAGGAAATAAGATGCTGTAAATTATATCTTTTTTGCTTGGATGAAATTGGCTCTGATACCAACCAGCTGCAGGCCCATAGCTGAGGCCCCTCTGCACTGCAGAGCAGCCACTGAAGTCCTGGCCATGTGTGGCCAAGCACAAAGTACTTTAGCCCTCCAGCAGTGGAGGTTTTTGCCTACCCCAAGCAGCAGTGGGGTGGGGGAAGCCTCACACAGGCAGCAAGCTCCTGAAGTCCAGGAGGATGTTGCTATAGACACAAGTAGTGCTTGTTTTCCCTCGGAGCTAGTACAGCACCTTGTTAGAAAACACCTGGTTTATTGGGTGGGATGCCCTCCACTGTCAGTGAGATATTCTGATACATGCTCTGTGTGATTTATGAACATAAACCCATACCTGTAAGGTGGTTCAGGAATGAATCTGAACAGCAAAGGGATGTGCACACCTGTGGCATTATTCTGACGCTAGTGATGAGACTGGAGGCCATGTGGGAAAGGGAATATATTGATTCTTAGTGTTTTCTTTACATTCTTGTTTGAATGTGTCTAATGGAGGTGGGGTTTATTATCTTTCAGACAGTCTTAGCAGCACTGATTTCCTATTTCATTAACTTTGAAGAAAAATATAATGTAGCTGTTGTTGGAAAACTAGAAGAAGGGTAAGTGATTTACTTAAAATTCACCAGTGGAGCAAAATGTTCTCTCTAGTTTGTCAGTGTTGAATCAGTTGAGCTATGTTTGATTAAACTAATCTGCTTCATCATCTTTCAGTAGGTAAATAAACATTTTGCTCTTGACAATAGGAGGACACACTTCTAATATGTAAAAGTCACTCACTGGAACACATCTCCTACTTGACAAAGAATACGTGGGAACATGAAATAATCACAGGCTTCATTTTCTAAGGCAGCTGTTGAGCAGGAGGTTCATGTTGTTCCTTTTACTGAGCTACTCACTCCTGAACCCCTCTGTTTCCCTTTGAGCACACACATGGTTCAGCAGCCACCACCAACTTTGGAAAAGCACCAGGACACTGCTGGTCCGGTCACCAGCTGCCACCATCTCCCCATGGACCATTATCCTCCAGAGGCCCCAACATTTGCTCCTCCAGGCACATGTTCATATAGACAGTATATATCCACATGTGGACTATATATCCATATATACAGTACATCCAGCTATGCCAGAATCTTGGCATAAAGAATTAACAGGCACACATTAAGTTAAAAAGAGGAAGACAGGACAGCACTACTAGGACAGCAGACTGCACCCATTTACTTACCCAGGTGCTATTGGTTGCCTCTTGGAGGCCTGGGGGTTTTAATGGATGAAATTTGCAGAGGAACAGTTATTTCTGCTCAAGAGTCTCCATTCTTCAGATTTTAGTTCATTGAAAAAAAAAAAAAAAAGGAAAAGAAAAATAAAGTCCAGAGAGGAATTCTCCCTAGAATCTGCAAAAGACCCTGATCAAAGGAGCAGGAAATGGTAAAGCTAGAGCACCTAGCAGATAGATAGCCTGAGAAACTAGTCAGCATTACCTGACTGAGCACATATTTGTTTAGCTGACTAAGGTGCTTCACACAGGGATGAATCACACAGAGATTTTTCTTTTCGTCATAGTTAAATGAAATCCTGGTGTGCACAAATTGCCCATGCAAGGGCCTCAGCTCCTTACCACATCTTACATCCATGCATAATGAGAAGGCAGAACTGTGCACGCACCTCAGACAAAATAAGCTGTGGCTGGTCCTGACCAAGTAAATGAGAATCTGCTGGGAAACTGAGCCAAGTGCAGATAAGCAGAGTCCCTGTCCCAGTTAAGGATTCTTCAAAGTGTTATAGGGTTCAGACCTGCAGTTCTGAGTCACATCTCCCCAGAGTTCTCAGTATGAGCTTCACCATTGCCTTGCTCACTTGCTTGACAAATTGTTTCCTGAGGCATATCCTCAGTTAGCAGGTTTTTGTCTTTCAGATTTCAAGTGCCTGTTGCACCTGATGTAGGTGTCCTCCAGAAGTGCATTGGTGACAGCATTTCTATAGCAATTGTTGGGTTTGCTGTAGCCTTCTCTGTGGCTAAAGTGTATTCCATCAAGTATGACTACTCATTAGATGGCAACCAGGTAGGCAAATAACACAGAAATCAAGACAGTGCATTTCTCAATGGGAAATAAGTAATTTTAAGAATACTTTGCCTCAGAAATCGGTGTTGGGAGTGGTCTTGTTCAATATCTTTGTCGCTGACATGGACAGTGGGATTGAGTGCACCTCATATAAATATAACCCCCATTTTCAAGACGGGGAAAATGAATGACCCAGGGAACTACAGACCAGTCAGTCTCACCTCTGTGCCTGGCAAAATCTTGGAGCAGATTCTCCTGGAAGGCATGCTATGACACATGAAAAACAACAAGGTGCTTGGTGACAGCCAGCATGGCTTCACTAAGGGGAAATCCTGCCTGACCAATTTGGTGGCCTTCTATGATGGGTTTACAGAACTGATGGACAGTAGCAGTTCTGATACAGTAACTGATGGACAGGGGTAGAGCAGTTGATGTCATCTACCTGGACTTGTGCAAAGCGTTCGACACTGTCCCACACGACATCCTTGTCTCTAAATTGGAGAGACATCAATTTGATGGATGGACCACTCGGTGGATAAAGAACTGGCTGGATGGCTGCACACAAAGAGTTGTGGTCAATGGCTCAATGTCCGGCTGGAGACCAGTAACGAGTGGTGTCCCTCAGGGATCGGTGTTGGGACCGGTCTTGTTCAACATCTTTGTCACTGACATGGACAGTGGGATTGAGTGTGCCCTCAGCAAGTTTGCCGATGACACCAAGCTGTGTGGTTAGGTTGATACGCTGGAGGGAAGGAATGCCATCCAGAGGGACCTTGACACGCTTGTGAGGTGGGCTGATGCCAACCTCATGAAGTTTAACCATGACAAACGCAAGGTCCTACACCTTGTAGCAGCCTGAAAGGGTATCTAAGGGGAGGCTATAGGGATGCTGGGGAGCGGCTCTTCACTAGGGACTGTAGTCACAGGACAAGGGGTAACGGGTTAAAACTTAAACAGGGGAAGTTTAGATTGGGTATAAAGAAGTTCTTCACTGTCAGGGTGGTGAGGCACTGGAATGGGTTCCCCAGGGAAGTTGTGAATGCTCCATCCCTGGCAGTGTTCAAGGCCACGTTGGACGAAGCCTTGGGTGGTATGGTTTAGTGTGAGGTGTCCCTGCCTGTGGCAGGGGGGTTGGAACTTGATGATCTTAAGGTCCTTTCCAACCCTAACTATTCTATGATTCTGTGATTGTGAATAACTGTCATGAACTAGCTTTTTAAGAACAATCTTTTCTGGTTTTATTTCAGGAACTAATTGCTTTTGGGCTGGGTAACATAGTTGGTGGATCATTCAAAGGTTTTGCTTCCAGCACTGCTCTGTCAAGATCAGGTGTGCAGGAGAGCACAGGAGGCAAAACACAGGTACAGAAAACAACAGATCATGATGACATGCAATGCTAGAAAGCTCTCTTTTTTTCCTAGCTGAGCATAATGCCTGTGGACACTTATTCACAGTGGAATTTTTCTCTCTTGCAGATTGCTGGTATTATCTCAGCTGCCATTGTCTTGATTGTGATCTTGGCCATTGGGTTTCTTCTGGCACCATTACAGAAGGTATTCGCTGGTTTCACCAAGCAGTTCCTCCTGCTTGACAAAGACACTGCTGCTCTTGGAGTCACTGGGAGTGTTTGTAGGCTTCAGTGGGGGCCAAACAGGGTTTTGCAAAGCTTGGTTCTTCTTCCCAGATCATGACAGAGAACGACTACCTCTGGTCCCTCAAAGGGAACACAAGTGCTCAAACACCAAACACCACAGCACCAGCTTTTAGGTGCCAAAAATAAGTGGGACTTGGAGCTTCAAGTCAGACACCTGCACTGCACCATGGCTGGGGAGGTTCCAGCAGCAATACAGCTGGAGATGCTCCCTGCCCTTTAAGCTGAACTTTGGCCCTATTTATATGATAATTTAAGTCTTAATGTACAACATTTGCTTTTCTTCTTCAAAATTCAACATGTGTTTTGGTCTTTCTGACAGTCAGTTCTTGCATCTCTGGCTCTTGGCAACTTGAAAGGAATGCTCATGCAGTTCAAAGAAATAGGCATCCTATGGAGAAAGGACAAGTATGACTGTGTAAGTTGAGTTCCACAATGAAGCACTCTGGAAAACTAATCTATTATGCAAATTCACTTACAGGCTATCTTTTGTTTTTTATATATATATATGTAAATATATATACATATACCCAACTTACTTCTCTAAACAGAAAGTACAGTAGTGGCAAGCCTTTTTTCCTCATATACCCCTTTCTTGTGTCTTTCATTTTGTTCCACCCATTGTGAGTTGATTATCTCCCCTAACTTCATTTTCATCCATTTAATCAAAACATATTTAAATACAGTTCCTTATATAAAATCAAATATAAAAGATAGTTACAGAAAATGTCTAAATACCTACTGCATTGGCTATATATTCAGGGACACTTTCTCACACACATGCAGCGTGTTACATGGAAGTTACACAGTAAAAAAACAAGTGACAGCCATGGCTTGAAGGGTTTACTCCAAATGAGTTTTATTGCTCATGGCTGGAGAGAAGGACTGCTTACCTCTAGCACTCAGAAAATTTAGGCTCTTGCCCTTCTCATAGGCCAGCTCCTTGTCTTGCCAGATTGCTCCAGGCATTAGTTTTTCCAGCTACCAATCAGTTATTTACCACATGAAAATGCTTTGAGAGCTGAAGCTAAAACATATTCATTATTACCCTGTAATTTGTGCTTACCAGTTGTGTACATTCACAGCACATGCATTTACAACTCTCAGCTTTACCAGGATCCTGATTTGGGCCTAACCTTGCCTTTCTGCTGAATTTTTATTGAGCATTTAGCGAACCACCTACCAAAGATACACAACTCCATTATTCTAAGCCTTTGCTCTGTAGAAATTGTCATACCTAGAAACACTCCCTAGTGCTAGCTGATGAGCCTGGTCCTGTTTTACAAGAAAAAAGCTCCATAAACCCCCTTACCAAAGGCAGATGGACAGCCTGGACCAGATCTGAAATCTGTTGCTGCTCTTATCCTGAGCTCACAACCCAGCTTCTTGACACGCTTATAACCTGCTCCTTACAGGTTATATGGGTGGTGACTTTCTTGGCTGCCATTTTTCTTGGTCTGGATATTGGACTAGCAACCGCTGTGGCATTCCAGCTGCTGACTGTGGTGATCCGCTCCCAGATGTGAGTACTTGTTGGATGCTATGATATCTTAGAATCTCCTGTTATAAATTAACTCTCCCTGCACAGAGAAGGCCAACAGCCCAATGCCTTGATCAGTTCTGCAACCAGGTATGGAAAAACAAATCCCAGGCATAAACCCCTGGATGTGGGGTCCCGCTCCAGCCTACCACCACAACTTAGGTTGCTTTCTCTGATCATTCCTTCTGCCAGGTTTTGGTACAGGGTACAAATAACTGCATGTGTGTGTTTGCTCACAGCCCAAGCTGCACCGTTCTGGCTAATGTTGGGAGAAGTAACATCTACAGAAACAGGAAGGATTACAAAGATGTAAGAACTGTCTTGTTTATTTTATTATCTGCAGCATTGGTGTCTATATAGCTGATGTTGTTACTGACACTTTTGCTTCATTGTAGATCTATGAACCAGAGGGAGTGAAGATTTTCAAATGCGCATCTCCTATCTTCTTTGCTAACACTGAATTCTTCAGAGAGAAACTCATCACTGCTGTAAGTGCCTGGCGCTGTTGTTCTGAACATATGAATTGCATGATGCATTAAGGTGAATACAATTTCCCAATCATTAGTACATATGCAATCAGTCCACAGTTCAAAAGATTATCACTAACTATTCTGATTCTATGATTTATTCAAATATTGTTGCCACTAATGTAATCCTACACGTACATACACACCCCTGAGAAAAGGCAGCCTGCCTCATGTTGAATCTATACAGTAAAAATGTATATATGTGTTTTAAGTCCTTTAGAGGAAAGTAGTGCATAGACATTATTTTATTTTATTAGCATTTATATTATTTACACCTAATAGACGTTACTCAACTTCTCCCAAAGTATGTAACCATACCAGTCAGAAGAACAGCTGAATGAGATCACACTAGCAAAGTGGTCTTAATGTTTTCCATGACAAATTGGGTAAAGGCAGGTGTTCTTTCCATAACCAGCACAGACAGCCAGGACCCCTGAGCCCTCACCATGCCAGAGAGGCTACCATCCCCAGACTGGACCAAACTTGCACCCACACCCTCCCCTTCATGTGCTTTTAGGGGGGAGTTGATAAGCAGTGTCTACCCTGAGCACTGGTAATGAGCAGCTCATTCTTCACATGAGGGACTGAAACTGGCAAAGGAACTGGGGAATCCAACATGTTTGGGTCTCCATGTACTTGGCTTTCACCTCAGAAGAGCCTGAAGTTTTTTTTCTGTGGGTGCAGTTGCTCACACCACTCTCTCCCTTTATAAACATGGATACTTTTAACATCTCTCTCCTCCACCACTTGATAGATGGCAGAAGACTTGTAGGAATTTGATATTTTCATAACCCTTATTAGCCCAATTTTCTTGCCACCTAATTTTCCTAAAACAAATTAAGAGGTCCAAGAGACATACACAGCCAGCACTTTCAAGTTGGATTTTCTTCTTCAAGAAAACAAAACAACATGTATACAAACCATGCTGCAGTCGGGGCAGAGCAGATACTGGTTGGTATCTAAGGCTGGTACAGTGCTGGGTAGCCAGGGCATGTCCTGTTCATCTTCATTATGAGACTGCAGTCCTGGGCCTGCCTGGTTTGCAATCATGCCTGTAGACATCTTTCCAACCAAGAAAAATTGAATTGATGAAAAATGGTAGGCAACATCAAGTCCAAATTATGCTCATTGTGACTGTAAAGAAAAGCCATGTGAGATGCTGTGTCCTCCCCCTGGTATCACTGGGGTTTTCTTCTAATTATGTGAAGTGCTGTTTCTGCAGGTTGGCTTCAACCCACAGAGAATCCTGAGGAAACGCAATAAGGCTCTGAGGAAGGTCAGAAAGATGCTGAAGAAAGGAGAGCTGCAAGTGACGCCTGTAAGGCAACTGCACCTGGGAGGGGGGTTAATAGGGGGTGGGGATAAGCACCCAGCTCCCTGGCTTGGCACAGCAGAGAAGTGCCTACAGCCCCCGTCCCACTTAGATCTGCTATTCCCAGTCTGCCACTTTATGAGAAACGCATTTCAAAAATAAGATTTGAATGCCTCTCACAGTTAGAAACCTACAGCTGTACTATGGGCAGAACATGTATGTGTTGACTGGCGTTTTGTTTAGCATTAAATAGCAGGATCAGCTCCCACAGAGGCAATGTCCATGGTACATTAATGGTACATAAAGCCAGTTTTCTCCCACCCCAAATCCTGCAAGCTCTTTGTTGATTTGCTCCAAAACTATTGAATTAAAGCATATAGAATCCTAGAATGGTTTGGGTTGGAAAGGACCTCAAGATCATCTAGCTCCAGTTCTCCTGCCACAGGCAGGAACACCTTCCACTAGACCAGGTTGCTCAAGGCCCCATCCAGCCTGGCCTTGAACACTGCCAAAGATGGGGCATCCACAGCTTCTTTGGGCAGCCTGCTTCACTGCCTCACCACCCTCACAGTAAAAAATATGACAATTGACTTCAGAGAGCAATAAAAAGCCATTAATAATTTATTATAATTCTGATTAAATGATTGGTGAGAGGAAAGCCAACATACCCATACTCCTTCAGCCAAGGGAGAGACAGAACTTTTCCTAGTGCAAAGTGCAGGTGGGTCCTGCTCCATCTCAGGAGTACCTCAGCTTTGCATTATCACCACTCTCACTGTCATGTAAGATGCACTACTACCACGGCTGGGTCTTACAAAGTGTTAGTTATGATACTTTTCTCTGTGAACACAGAAAGGCTTGATTTGCATGGCAAACCATACACATGAGTCAGATGAAGAATTAGACAACAACAAGATAGAGGAGCTGGATCAGCCCACCAACATGACAGACTTGCCCATTCAGATCAACTGGGGCGCTGACCTACCCCCCAGCATCACCGTGCCCCGGGTTGACATCCACAGCATCATTCTGGACTTCTCATCAGTGTCCTTCCTCGATTTTTCTGCCATGAGAGTCCTCCAGAAGGTACCTGTAATTCACAAAATGAATAGTGATCATATGAAAGAAAAACGTATGAATGCAGTTACATGAGGGATATGCTGGAGGGAAGGGATGGTACCTTGACAGATAGGCTTAAGAAGTGGGACAATGCAATGGCTAATCACCATAATAGCTGTTATCAGCAAACCCAGCAGTATCTAAATGGTGCCTCTTTCTGGTTTCACAGACTTTGAGGGAATTTGTCCGGATCAACATCGACATTTACATTGCAGCAGCACATGGTGAGTACTTGCCTTTCCATCAGCATCACCACAGATTCCTTGTTCCACTGTCTTCCCTGTCTACCAACGAGCTTAGCTGCAGAGGATGACCCAATTTTGCCTTCCAGTCTTGGACAGCAAACAGATCCATGTGAGCAGACATCTCATCCCTCCCACGCTGTCCCCAGCAGGCTGGTTTTACCTACAGCCACCATTGTGTTCTACAGCTCTGGGCTGTGAGACCCACTATAGGGCAGCCTACATTAGGCATTACATAAGAAATAGGGCTCAAATTCCCTTCTGCCTGAGCAGAGAAAGTATTGATTGTCATTTATATCCCATCCTCTCCACATCACTGAAGAGGAACCCATCTGCTCTAACAAAACAGTGCAGTGTACTAGCAGTTCCCATGCTTCCTCAGTGGACATCCTCAGGATGCACTTCTTCATTTTTAAGGCCCACAGGTCACTTTGTGCTTTGATTTTGTTCCTCTGCAGAAGGCCTCCTGGAGAAACTGGAGAGATGTGAGTTTTTTGATGAGGAGATTAAGCCATCCATGTTCTTCCTCACAATTCACGATGCACTTCTACACATTTTGCTGAAGAAGGACATAGACAGCTCCCCTAAATTAAAGCTCCCTGAGGTAACACTACATCTTTCACCTTTCGCTATTTTGGTACCTTTACATTCCTGACAAGCATCCAGCAGTGGCCTGCATAGCCAGTCATGTGCCCTACACCATCTCTATATCCAGAAAGCTAATGATTACAACTCAGCAGGTCTCCAATACATTTAGACAGTAAGAGTGGCTCCTGGTCCAGATACCTGGCAAACCAGTAGTGAAAAGAGTGAGTAATTCCCACTGAAGACTGGCCTGGCTGTTGACTTCACTTGAAGCCACCTCCTTGGGAACGGCACAGTGTGGGGTGAAATTCCAGCCCATCCATCCTCTGTGGTCACCCATCAGCAAGGACTGCTGCATGCACTGCAGTGGCTCTAGCAAGGCAGACTTCATGCTGCTTGCATGTGGGCTTTCCACAACTGTCTGCCTTCAAAAGGAGTGCTAAAGGAGTGCACACACATCAGTACATCCAAATCTGGTGATGGGCTTTCTGGGAGTGTTCTCCCATCAAGAGCAAGAAAGGATCCCATGTGTTAAATCTGTTTAAAAGTACCAAACTCAGAATGCTATTACCTGGAAACTGTCTAATCCCACTTAGCTGAACTGGCCCAGCCCTTCCACACTGACCCAAGACATGGTAGGGGTGTAAAAGGCTGACAAATGAGCTCTTCCTTCCTTCCAGGTCAACTTTCCAAGTGTGTTCCAGAGATTTAAAAAGCAAGAATGTGAAAAAGGAAAAAAAGCAGCAACCCATTTCCTAACCCACCATTTGTGTTCATTGCAGGGGAAGGGTAACAGCAACAACTATGTCATCATCCCCAGCAACGGACTGCGCAGCCGGGAGTGCATGGTAAGATTCCCATCCCTACTAGTGACACTCCAACCATAAGAAACACAGCCCTAAAAGCTGACACGGGAATTGCTAGGTCAGGTAACAAAAGCATCTTCGTCCCTGAGCTCCTGTGTCAAGCCAGGGCAGAAAGCAGCCGAACAGCTTATTGATGGGATTTGATTTAAGGCAAAGCCTTAAAGGAGTAAGAGGCATGGGGTCAGCTCACAAGCCTTGTGCACTGAGAGTCATCAGAGGAAAGGTGGGCAAATGCCATCTCAGCAGGCTCTCGCCTGGGCTTCTCACCTGTCCACCACAGGTCCCCTGTGATGAGCTCATTGGTAGAATATCCAAGTGGCAGAAACATCGGCATTTGTCCCATTTATGTAAATGCTCTGGGCAGAAGGGGAGTCTGGAGACAGGGATAAAAAAGGGACACATGCAGCCTTTCATAATGACTAGAAGAGATGGGCAGTATTCAGCACACAGCAACCCCATGAGAAGAAAATGTCGGACCACGGTCTTTCCACACAAATGCTTTAGAGGGGTAAACTCTTACATATCACTCACCAGAGGGCACCTCACTTGGCTATTCCCTACAGAGGGTGACATTTATTTCTTTTTTATTTCCTACAGATTCCAATAGAAACAAAATTTTAGCTTTTCTAAATATAATATCCTCCAGCAACACAACATCACTTACAGAAGATGAATGCAGATGCAGTGATGAGCATGAAGACAGAAGGATACCTTTAAATACCTTAAGAATAATTTACTACATATGGTTATGTTCCAAGTTTTGGAATGTGCTTGTTAGTCTTTATGTGTTTCTGTATATATAGAAATGTATTTATGTACATACATGGAGGCTAAAATCACCCAGATATTCCATACCTTGTTGACAGCTTAGCACAGAGTTGAAGACGCAGGTAATGTTAACCCTCTTTGCATATACTTGTATATATATTATTCTGACAGTTTGTAGACAACCTGCACAGTTACTAGAGAAAATATAAATATTTGGAATCTTGTAATTTATAACACAGACTAATAGTTGGGAACAATATTTTATCTTCAGCTTGTATATAACTTGTATATTTTTCTTGATAGTTTGTAAGATACCTAGTAGACCAAGTTATTAAACTTGTTTTCAGCTCACTGCCATGAGCACAGTGTACATAGTGACTAATGTATCTCCTGTCAAACATGAGGATTGTTCAGGAAAGACACAGCATTTTCAGATCCAAACGTGATTCACTGATTTGGTTTGGGCTGGTATAAAGCGCACAAGAGAGTATACATTTATAGTGAACTATTAAATAAGGGTTTTGGCAATCCTGCATTGCTTGCTGCATTTGTCAACACACCATCAAGGATGCTCATAACCACTGAGACCTGGCACATGTCCCCCAGGAACAGGATGACCTGAGTATGCTGGAAGGGTGGGCTAACAAGAACCTTATGAAGTTCAACAAGGCCAAGTGTAAGGTCCTGCACCTGGTAGGGGCAATCCCAAGCACAAATACAGGCTGGATGGAGAACAGATTGAGAGCAGCTCTTAGGAGGACTTGGGGGTATTGGTTGACAAGAAGCTCAACATGGCCAAACATAAGCTACATCAATATTAGAAGATGTTTTGTAATTTTTGCAATGGTGAGATTCTGGAACATTCCTTCCAGTTAGAATTAGAGGAGAAAAAAAAACACGATTACTTTTAAGAAGAGGCTTAACGTATCTATGAAAGTCATGATACCGCATCCCATCAGTGAAACCTGGGCTTTCTGACTGAAGGCTGTTCTTTCCAGTCCTGCACTCAAGTGCATCTATACAGACCGAGACAAACATCCCTAGCAAAAGTAAGTCAGTCTGGTGGAACAACACATACTGCATTTCAAAACCACATTGGATTTGCTGACAGGCTCAAAGTTAAGAATACTCCTTCTAAACTGCACTCAAACCAAGTAATTTCAATACTCTTCTGACAGCACAGTGGCCCAGAGCATAAATCCCCCTTCCGAAAATATTCACCATTTCTTAAACGGACAAGGTACCTGGACAGCCCCAACCAGAGAGCCATGTCACATGTCCCTGCCAGCTACTTACCATCCTCTTAAATCACCCCACTCCTTATTTTCAGTGTTGACAACATCACTGCTGTATTTCTGATGCTTTATGTGATTTCCCCCTCCAGATACTGGTTATTTCTTCATTCAACTCTCTGTTACTCCAATACTCAAGTTCCTCTGAGCATTTCACCCTGATATAGGTTGTAGCACATACATCTTGCTCTGTTGTGGGGTATCATGCTGATGCAGATTTACTAGATTTCATACCTGTTTTCTTTTTGGAGAGCAAATGGGTATGGTGTTAATACATCATCACATATCCTGAGCCTATCTCTCCTCAGCACTGCACAGATGCTGGCTAACTAAGTAACAGGCATTTTATAGCCAGCAAGAGGGATGGAGAACACAGAAGCCCATGGTCAAGCCTACTCTCAAACCTGGCTTTCATTTGGTGGTGCAGAAGAGATTGCTTGTGTGATAGAGAAAAAAAATTCAAAGTGATTCAGCTATTCAAGGTCTTGAGCTCAATGGAGAAAGGATTGTAACATGCAAACCTGGTTTTTCAATTTTAAATTTAGCTTCTATTAATATAAAAATAATAAAGATATCTTTAAGTAAAAAAATAAATATATCTTTAAGTACTTCCTCACTGAAATGTCACCCGCAGTTCTCTACTCCTCACTCCTGTGCTGAAGGTGGACAGCTTTTTTTTCTCACTCTACACTTCTGTTCCCTTCTGCTTGCTAAGAAAATGCCTGAAAGTTTACCTGATCCAGAAATTATCTTGGAGCTACACTCCAGCACTGGTTTTCACAAACAAAATGAAAAAACTCATCATGTGTTGACTGACACATACTGCTATTTGAAATCAAGTGTTTGTAAGCAGTTAAGCTGAAGCTCTTGTGAAACATTACTACATAAAAATGAGAACATTCCTGCCTGCTTGCACATATTATCACTTTCCATTGACAGAATTGCATTACAACCACTCCTACTAGCACTCCAGAATCACTTGCATTGTATCATCAAAATTAATTACTAAAGGTTCAAAATGACTCAGCTAATTTACCAGCTTCCTGCTGCTATTCCATCCACAAATTTCCCAATGTATGTTGGATTTTTAAATCTTTTAAACTCTTGTACTCATGAACTGTGTCAAAACTGAAAACAAAAAACCCAAAGAAATTAATGCCCCATATTGAGAGAATAAGGGAATACAATTCAGAGTAGGAAAAGTTGCTAAAGCCTCTCTGTCTTACAGCTAAGGCAAGACTAAAAGGAACTTTAAACTTCATCCTTCTCACTCACATTGCCCAAACCAAGGCAGCTAGTTCAGTTCACAAACTAGTCAGTACAAAACATTAGTGTAAATATAACACACCTGAATACAGTGAAGAACCTCACAGTTATGATAGCAGCATTACTACGTAAGTATGATTTAACAGTTGCTACATAAAAAGGGAAATACAACTTGTGTAACACTGACATTTCTTTCAAATGTAGTCAGGATGAAAATATATAAAACTTGTACATTTTTCTGCTGCACTGGACTCTGTAGCGTCATAAAGACAAACAGGAAAAGTTCAAACTTACTTCCCTCACATTCAGTATTAGGTTGCAGCTGCAATCCACTGCGCTCCTCCAGGCTCCCCGGCTTGGCAGCACCTCCTGTCAGCACCTCCTGTCAGCAAGACATCAACGCAGGCGGAGAGAAAATAACTCACAGACACCAGTTTTACAGAGCAGAAAACATTTTAACAACAGAGAGGTCTGTTCAGAGTCCACCTACAGAGAAAGCCCATCCACAAGTGTGCTTTCAAGAACATTTGTCTCCTGTAACACAGGAGCTAGTTAGGCAGTTTTTCTCCCTTGCTGTGTGTGCAAACTCCAACATGGAATGAATATGAGTTACTTCCACTTTAGTTCTTAAGCAACAGCATTTATCACTCCTTTGAGAGCAGTGGGTGAAAAGAAGTGGGAACTCCAGCCAGTACAGCTAATTCCCTGGATCAGATTTTGAAAAAATAATTCACATCCTTCATTTTTCTGTGAGGCACAAAAAAATATCACTTAACACATCTATGTAACCAATCTTCATGTCAACTCTATTAAAAGCCAACCAACCAAAAATAAAATACACGTTCACACAATTAGCCTGCTTGTGGTAAAGCATGCATGGTTTCAGACAATCCTTTAGACAGAATTGAAGATAATGAGAGAAGCATCTAAATCATAGATGTTTTCAGGCTATCTCCTGGTGCCCTTTCATTCATGACATGGTGGACATCAAACTCCTTCTCATTCCCTTATGTGACATTACTGGAGGAACATACAGTGGCTGACATATCTAAATACGGTCAGGAGTTGTCTTCAGAACTTGAGATCTCCTTGGCAATCCCTGGGAGGGAGACCATTGCCACAGACAGGGGTATCCATTTACAATAAACATAATTCATATGTTTCTCTTTACAGGAAGATGTAAGTAGGAATCCAAAGAACTTGCAAGTACATCTCTCCATTTCTAAGACTGTCAATTACACAGTTAAATACAATATATGAATTTCTGAACTTCATACCAAAATGATCAGGTATTTTGCAAAAAAAAAACCCAACTAACTGACTGAGGTAAAAAAACCTTAAAGCCAAAAGCAACAATAAATCACAAACCAAAACACACCCCAAGCCCCACAAATTAAATGTTAACATAAGTTTTCAACCAAAGCAGACTTTTTTAACTTTGGAACTATGAAAGCATCAATAGTCCCCTTTGTTACACTTGGATGCTTAAGACTTAATAAATGAAAAAGAAAGGATTTAGGTCTTCTTACAGAAGCAGGACACACAAACTTGATCCAATCCTGACTACCTGAGATGACTTTTCACCAAGTCCTCTATCACAAAGAGTTATCACTAAACAATTCAAGGGATCCTTCTGACTTTCTGCACAATACATCACAGTCAGTATGACATACCTTTGCCCCAGATATAAAGAAAAAAAAATTCTCATACATTCTCTACAGTGACATTGTTTTTCTGTGCTTTCTGATAGAGCAAAGCTGCTGTTTTCCCTTAATTGATTCAACTGCCTCAGCATTTTCAGAAAAGCTCTTTATCAAGAATTTTAAGAATAGCTTTGGACCCAGAATTATGTTTGAACCCTTCATCTGTTTCACAACTGACTGAATATGTAACACAAATGTTCAATCTGAATTATTTCTAAAAACAAGCATGATGGTATTTCCTCATCACTGCAACTGAACAGGTAGTAGTCCATTGCAGAATGTCTTATATCCCAGCAGAGTGCCCTGGGGACATTGATGTAATTCTCTGCACAGAAGCCTGAAACATCGTATCCTCATAAACCCCATGTGTTACCTTCTCAGCCTGAACACAGCAAAGCCTGGAACCATCAGTAAGGCTGTTTAAATCAGGTATGTCAGACCTATGTCTGCCTTTGCAGTCAAAGAATATTATTCACATATGCGTATTTCTTCCCCTATGAAGTTATATGGTGTAATATAAACGTGCCTACCTCCTGCCAAGCAATTTAACAGTGACAGAAAGGGGTCCCTTTTAAAGTTCCTCATGTGCTTATTGTTAGCTACTGAAACAAAGTAACGCCCAGGGTCATTTTCACCTTCATACATACTGAAATAGCAAACTTTCAGCCAAGCCAGTACCACAGCACACTACCACAGTCAGCCTCGTTTCTTTACCAGTGTGCTTTATTTTTTAAACAAATAACTTAGTTTTCAGAGAAAGCAAACCAAACAACTCCTTCTCCAAAGAAGCATATTACAGCTAAGCAGACTTCTCATCAGGTGACAATTCCTAGCCATTTGTATACCCCAGAATTTATTTGTATATCCCAGAATTTATTTGCCCATCTCTAAAAAAGTATTTATTTGAAAGGTAGACTAAAAGATTGTCCCTTGGTCACAAGGAAATCCACGGCAATCAAGGACAGAGCAAATTTGAAGAGCCCTTGCTCTGGTAACTAAAAATAGGCAGTTTATATGTAAAATTACAACATTTGGCATGTTACACTGCCAAGCTTTCATAAATTTACCACTAATGAAGCAGGGAAAGACGTTTACAAAATAAATAGTAACACTGAGGCTTTAACATGGTTCAGATTATTTGAGAACAGTGGGGAATTACAAACCTTCACAAAAAACCTAAACCCCAAAAGATTTCTCCACCTAAAAGCACCACAAAGGTTCAGCACTAACATGGATTAAAAATGCAAAGATAAGCACTCCAAATGACAGACTGTGCTGTCATCTTACTGGCTGGTTCTCCTATCAGCTGCACTAAAAAAAAAAAAAAAAAGAACATTCTCATTTATTACATTGCTCTCTATAAAACATAAATTTTGGGCCAAATGAGACCCAAGGGCCTGTTCACACTGCTACTTTTTGACAAAAGAAAACCAAGACACCTAACTCTGGTCTGTTCAGTTAAATCTGTATCACAAAATCGAAACAGATGAAGGATGTGTAGCTTTTTATTTCTTTGTATCTACATGTGGGTTTTCAGACCACTTCTTCCAGGTTATCCAAATGGGAAGTCTTCCTACTGTACATATATTATATAAAGTGACAGAGGCAAACACCACTTCCCTACCTAAAATAATCTGCTTATCACAGACATGGCAAGCCAATTCACAGCCACTTCTGCACAAACATAGCCATAGGTAAACACAAGTTTGAATTGAACACTAGTGAACAGCATACATGTAAACAGAACCTTCCAAATCAAAATTAGCTTTAAAACAAGAACTCCATAAAGCCAAAACCCAAACTAAAAATCCCCACTAAACCCCATAATACATTGCATGGT